CAGGTCGCTCGGAATTAAACAAATCCTCACTATCAACTTTTTTAAATTAACCCTCACTAATTGAGTTGATTTTTTAACAAGAATAATTTGGAAGTTTATGTTTCAAAATTGTGAGTTTTATCAGTAAACAAACTTTTTGTTTTTTTTTTGTGTTATTGAATTCGTTTCAGTTTTACGCTCTTCTACTTCTCTTTTAAGGTCTGCTAAATCTTAACTTAGCTAAGAAATATTGCATAAATCAGATATTTATTTCAGATTTATGATCTAATTCTCCTACCAAACCGAATACGAGGGCCCCTCCACGAACACTGTTGAAAGTTTATGATCGTCATTTTCCACTATGGATGCAAGTGGTGGACATATATGGAGTCTTCATGTGTGTATATAAACACTAAGAAATGCACATAATCAGTATAATAAGTTATTCTAATAAACATTCAACATTAGAAAAATAAAAACAGACTCACCATGGTTCAGGGTGGTGGTCATATGAACAAATTCGCTTGCAGGTGTGCCATTGTTGCTTCCATCATTTCAATCATCTTTGGATATGGTAAATCAATTTCTATATCATATAATATATTGTATTTAACTAGTTAAATTAGTAAAAATTTTTATCTTTTAAATTTTGTTTTTCTTTAAGAAAATTGAATCCAAATCGCGAAATAAGAGTTACTTTCAAATCTACGTTTCTAAGGTTTCTTAAATTTCAGAAGATTCTAACTTGTAAATGTTATCGCTATATACTACTGAGAAGTTCTTAGTTTGTCGAGAATGCAAAAGTTATATTTTTGTATTATGCATAGATATAATAAAATTAAGTACTTATTATCAAACATATGTTAATGCCATTAGCTTTGGTATTTTTATGTATAAAAATGATCAAACCATATAAAAATATTATTTATTTCAATATCTTTAAGTTATATCTCATTATATCTTAATTAAGTTTTATGTTTTTGTTAAGATTTATAAAAACGATCAAAATATTATGCCTTTGCATTTTTGTTTGCTTAAATTTATTTTGTGTTTTGCTTAAATATATGTTCTACATGGAAAACGGATTATTCCAATTTTATTTCAATTACAAAAAACTGTAAAAATTCAATTAGAGAAAATATATGATCCATATGCTTTGTCAAATTGTCACTAAACAAACTATGATTTTTTTATATGATTTATCATGATCAACTATGCTTACATTATACATAAGTTTTAAATGTTTTTAAAAATAGTTTTGCCTATGTGGACACTTTATATGGAGAAAAAACTGCCTAATCATATATATGATTGTAGGATTTCTTTTATATTAATGAATCTTATTATTCTTTTTTTTTTCTTTATTGTGTGTGTTTTTAGATACGGGAGTTATGAGCGGAGCTTGGATATTTATAAAAAAGGATATGAAAATAAACGATACTCAAATCGGAGTTTTGTTCGGAATCTTGAATATCTTTGCTCTCATCGGATCTTTAACGGCGGGGAAAACGTCTGACGTCATCGGCCGGCGTTACACTATTGCTCTCTCCTCCGTGATATTCTTAGTGGGCTCGGTTCTTATGGGCTACGGCCCAAACTACGCTGTTTTGATGGTCGGAAGATGTATCGCCGGAGTTGGTGTAGGGTTTGCTCTAATGATAGCTCCGGTTTACTCCGCCGAGATATCCTCTGCTTCACACAGAGGCTTTCTCACTTCTCTCCCTGAGCTTTGTATTAGTCTCGGGATTTTACTAGGCTATATCTCGAATTATTGTTTTGGAAAATTGACTTTGAAACTAGGTTGGAGATTGATGCTTGGAATCGCAGCGATCCCTTCTTTAGTATTGACCTTTGGGATTATAAAAATGCCCGAGTCGCCGAGGTGGCTTGTGATTCAAGGTAGGTTAGAAGAGGCCAAAAAAATTATGGTTTTGGTATCCAACACTGAAGAAGAAGCGGAAGAACGCTTCAGAGATATGTTAACCGCTGCGGAAATAGACGATGATACAGTGGTGAATTCGGTTGGGGGCAATAGGAAGAAGAATCAAGACAACAGTGTATGGAAAGAACTATTGATTAAACCAAGACCCGCGGTACGTCTGATCTTGATCACGGCAGTGGGAATACATTTTTTCGAGCATGCGACTGGGATCGAGGCCGTCATATTGTACAGCCCATGGATTTTCAAGGCAGCCGGAATAAATTCGGAAGACAAGCTTTTGCTCGCCACGGTCGGTGTAGGTTTAACTAAGACTGTTTTCATAATAATAGCTACTTTCTTGCTAGACAAGGTAGGTCGGAGAAAACTTCTGTTGACCAGCACTGGTGGGATGATCTTTGCGTTGGCCAGTTTAGCGTTTTGTCTCAAGATGATAGAGCGTTTCAGGCGATTAGTGTGGGCGTTGAACTTAAGCATCATCTCTACGTATGTGTTTGTAGCGTTTTTCTCGATCGGACTTGGGCCAATCACGTGGGTGTACAGTTCGGAGATATTCCCGTTGAGACTTAGGGCTCAAGGTGCGAGTATAGGAGTTGCGGTTAATCGGATCATGAACGCGACGGTCTCGATGAGTTTTATGTCGATAACTAATGCGATCTCAACTGGCTGTGCATTCTTTGTGTTCGCTGGATTCGCAGTGGCTGCATGGTGCTTCTTCTTCTTTATGTTACCGGAGACGAAAGGATTGCCATTGGAGGAGATAGAGAAGCTTTTTGGTGGTGGGGATGCTCGTGATGATCGCAACGGACTAGAGATCTAAACAAATTAAAAATTATTGATATACGTATTTAATTTTTAGTTAGTAATCTACTAAATTACAAACACATTTGAAAATACTGTTTAAACATGGTTTTATGTTCAATTCATAACATGCAGACACATATATATAAATAAGTGAATAAAATATTCGTAGCCATTATAAATATATATTAATTATAAGATAAAATCACAAAACAATTCAAATATTATAGACTTAAATTAAAAGTCATCCCTTATACATTATTTGGAAAATGATTTGTGAGAAGATGCTAATGTGTCATCTTCACAATCACTTTCACCAAAATAATTGTGACATGGCAATTTTGAATCAATGACAAAACCTTTTCAAGTAAATTTAAATTTAAAGAGTTTCTGCAAATAAATTCAAAGAGTTTTTAAGCAATACTTTTTTTTCAAATTTTCGTTTTTCATTATAAAATTATGAATAAACTTTCGTTTTTTGTTTAAAAATAGTTTAGAAGTTGCTTGTTGTAATAATAAATTTTAAAACATTTTTTATAGAATTTATATTATTTTTACTTATGATACAATTCAAATAAATATGGGCTGTACATATTTATTTAACAAATAAGTACTCTTTAAACCATTTTCTCAATAATTTCTATTTCTATTATACACTTCATATCTTATATATAAAGTTATAAGCAAATAACAAAATGTCAATGTGAATATTTTTACAATTTACACCAAATTAAAAAAAAAATTTAACTTAAACGTCTAAATTTAATATTGAATAAAAAAAGAATATTGATCTAAGACCTATTCAAATTAAATGATATTTTTATTAAAATGCAAACACAAACCAATATCAAAACATACAATATTATCTATAGTAGATATTTATATTATGGATATTATTATTCACAAATAGAATAATTCACACGGATAATCAAATGAATATTGAACACAATTGATTCCAATATGTTGTGCTTTGTTTCAAAAAAGATAATAAAAAAAGAATTGTAAAATGAACTTATTATCAATATTAAAAATGGAATTAAATTAATTAGTGCCAACAAATGAAAGAAAGAAGATATATGTTATTTCGTATAAAGAAAATTGAACTGGAATGTACACTGAACAACATTATCAATTTTTAACCATGAAATAATAATTTTCTAATTTATTTGATTTTCTAAAAAAATATTTTACTGCGTATAAAGCGGAGAGTCACCTAGTGTAAATAATATCATAAAACTCTATATAATATTTTACAATTAGTTTTATCAAATATCACATATCCATGATTGATAAATGTATACCAATGACGTCATTGGAAAGTTTCCTTCATATTTAGGAAGACCTTCCTAAATTAGTAATAATCATTTCTAAATTTGTTTTTTAGAAAAGTTTCTTCCATATTTAGGATGGTTTTCCTAAATTAGTTATAATTATTCCTAAATTTGTTTTTTAAATAACTTTCCCTTCTTATTTAGTAAGATCTTACTAAATTAATAAGAATCCTCCATAAATTTATTTTTTAATAATGATTGATAAATATATACTATTAACGTCATTAGAAAGTTTCATTCATATTTAGGAAGACCTTCCTAAATTAGTAATAATCATTTCTAAATTTGTTGTTTAAAACAATTTCTTTCGTATTTAGTAAGGTTTCCTAAATTAGTTATAATCATTCCTAAATTTGTTTTTTTAATAATTTTCTCTTCTTATTTAGTAAGACTGTAAGACGTTCCTAAATTAGTAAAATCCTTCCTAAATTTTGTTTTTTATGAAAATTTCCTTCATATTTAGTAAGGCATTCCTAAATTAGTTATAATCTTTCCTAAATTAGTTTCTTAGGAATGTTTCTTTCATATTTAGGAACACTTTCCTAAATTAGTTATAATCCTTCCTAAATTTTGTTTTTTAGAAAAATTTCTTTCATTTTTAGGAAGGACTTCCTAAATTAGTTATAACCCTTCTTTTTTTTGTGACGTCTTTTTTTTTGACCTCTTATAACCCTTCCTAAATTTTTTTTTTAAGATGGTTTACTTCATTTTTAGTAACACCTTCCTAAATTAGTTATAATCATTCCTAAATTTATTTTTATGAATCTTTACATCATATTTAGGAAAATATTCCTAAATTAGTTATAATTGTAACGCTCGCGAACCAAAATTGAGAATTTTGGTATGGGTGTCGATGGACACCAACTTCGAATTGAACCGACGGATTCAGTTTTTTATCGTCGGATCGCGGTTTGGGTTTAGAAAAACCCTAGGGTTCGCTTATAAAAGCGAGGAGCCGAGTTGTGTCGCGTTTTCAGAGAGAAAACAAAGATTTTTAGAGGATTGAGAGAGAAAAAGAGATTATTGTTGATTTTCCTTGTGTTCTTGATCATAAAAGCTCGTTATTGTGATTTGCGAGGCTCTGGAATTGAGTTTGGTGCGTGTTCTTCGGGAGGGAAGAAGGAAATCCGATTTCTAGGAGATAGAAGCCTCTGATTTTGTGTGTTTTTGTTGTTCTTATTCACAATCCTATCCGGAATCGAGGTGAGTGCGTGACCATGGCTTATATAGGTAATTGGAGTGTCATGATGCGTTTGT